TATATATATATAAGGCATAGCGGTGTATTTCCTAGTCTGATCTGTTATGAGAAGGGACAGAGGAACAGATCCAAGAATCTAGTTTTCAGTTCACTCTTCTTAGCTATCTATGTAGGTGTGAGTTTTTTGTGCAATTGCCACCACCATTGACCAACAGAGCAATAGTTGAAAGACATAACTTGGCACTAGAGGAACCAGTAGACTGCTTCAGCCATGTGTTCTGACACAGTGCAATTGCTGTAAAAGAGAGAGCCTTGCTATGTTGGTAATCTAAAGCTGAGTGTCCTTCCAGTAGCCCTGTATCTTCCAGGAGGCAGCCATGTACCTAATCTGGGTGCGTAGGGAAGCGCAGAGAAAGAAGCAGTGAAAGAGAAGGGGAAGCTTTTCATAACTAAGACTAGGCCCTTGGGAGTTCTAACTGGACCCAGTTGCTCTGCTCACCGGGCAAGTTGGTTTAGGAGGCAGGAGAGAAATCAGATTTCACAGATAGTGGAATCACAGCTGTCTCCACTTTCTTTTGAATTATTAAAAACAACTCGGTTCATTTGAATTAAGTTCGGTTTCTTAGCCTCTAACTTAAAATTAATTTAAAACTTCCACCAATTTAAAACTTGTACAACAACTTCAGATAAAATTAAGGGAGAAAATTATTAGCATATTGGTAACCTTGAACTCTTTTTTAATAGATTCCAATTGCCAATGCTTATTTTCTAGAAGGCAAATCGATAAAGCTTTAAAAAAGCTAAGTACATGGTAGAAGTGAGGTGTTCATTCCCAAAAGATGCAGCTTCTCTTTTCAGTTCAGTTTTCTGCTCCTTTTTTTCACTCTTTTCGCATAAGACAAATTCATCTGGCTCAAAGTAAATAGCTTTGCCAAGTAATTGGCTGGATCTGAACCATAAATCCCCACTCAACATTATGTAAAGCTGGTGCCTAAAGGCCCTCCCAGCTTAAACGAGCAGCTTTGGTAAAACTTCCTTCATTTGCGCCACTCCTTCCCCAAAGGGAAAGAAAAGCCAAAAAAAAAAAAGAGTAAGTAACTTTCTAGTTATTACAGTGTTCTGTATGAGGTGACAAAATGCGGCAGATGTTAAGAAGTGCCTTGAGTAAAGTTCTGCAGCCCTGATATTGTCCTAAGAGGCCAGATTACTTTTATAGACTGGTTATCCATCTCTGGTTTAGCTAAATCTGAGGAGGGCAATGTTTCAGAGGTCTGGAGCTACTGTGACCTTGAAGAAATATACTTCTAGTCCTAAATGTAACAATTTCACCCAAATAAATATGCCCCAAAATAAAGACTATCCTGTATGATAAAGACTTTATTCTCAAAATAGTATATTGTAGCTCTTTTTACTCAAGCTTATCTTCTTTGCATATATTAACTGTTGTAATCATTCTGGAACACAACAGAGAAAAGAATGAGGAAATTGGAGGTCATTTGGAGGGAAATTCCAGATTGCATGGTTTCTATCATTTTGGTATAGATGAGTGTAGGGAAGAACTTCCTGCTGTTTAATGGGCTTGACAAGTTGGTCACTAAACAGGGATAAAATTGAGAATTACAAAACCAGCTTTAGTTTTCATTTCTAAACCCTTATGGGAAAATCATCTGCAGGTAGTGCCCTGCAGGTAGCCTAGCTAGAATACCCCGATAGCAGCTCCCCGAAGGCAGAGCCCCAGCCGCTTCAGAGTGTGGCATAGCTGCCCGTGTCCCCTTGCCTGTAGGCAGTTTCTTTCGGGCGATGGAAGCTCCCCAAGGGCAGTCACCAGCCACTTTGATTGGCTGATAGAAGCGGCCTCGCGGCGAGGGGAGTGTGTGTGTGCGCTCGCCCCGAGGCCGCTTCTACCGGCCAATTGAAGTGGCTGGTGACTGCCCTTGGGGAGCTTCCATCGCCTGAAAGAGACTGCCTAAAGGCAAGGGGACACGGGCAGCCACGCCACGCCCTGAAGCAGCTGGGGACTCTGCCTTCGGGGAGCTTTCGTTGGCCAATAGAAGCGGCCTCGTGGCGAGGTATGTGCATATGGACCGCTCTAGGTGGGGGAGGAAATTAAGTCACCCCCGAAAAGACGGCCTAGCCATTTTTTCGGGGGTCAAAAAAAAAAAAAGGCCCAGCCTTATTTTGTGAGAAACACGGTACCACTTTATACTGCTTTGATAAGTATAGTATAGTATGATGAAATGGAATACACCATCCATTTCTGGTCACCATGATACAAAAAAGATGTTGAGACTCTAGAACAATGGTTGCCAACCGGTGTGGGCCGCAAGAAAATTTTGGTGGGCCGCAGCATGCTGAGGCGGGGAGTTGGGGCAATCCTGCAGTCTCCCATGTCGTGGCTGCTGCCTCCTGCCTCAGCGCATCGAGGAGGCCGAGCAGCAGTGGGAAGAGCACGGACCTCCTGAGTCGCAGGAAGCAGCTGCCCTCAGGTGAAGATGTTGCGAGGGGGAAGCTCTACCCCCTCTTCCTCCTCGCCAGAAGCACTCGCATGTTCAGCGGGAAGGAGGTGGCTTGTCGGGGGCCAGAGGGGCAGTGAGGGCTTTGCGTGTGAGCGCTTCTTGTGAGGAGGAAGAGAAGCTCTTGGGGGGGTGCAGGAGATCGTGCCCTCCCCTCGCAAGCCAGGTGAGGCTTCCAGCTCGGCCCTCCTTCCCTCCCCCAACTCCAGGAAGCCACACCTGGCAAAAGAGGGAGAGGTTTCCTCTGACTTGGGAGAGATATGAAATGACAGGAGACCAGATTTTTTTTGGGGGGGGGTGCTCTGCTTTTCTTATATATATATATATATATATATATATTGTTATAATTAAATAAGCATTTTTATATTTAAAAATATATATTTATATATATATTTATATATTTATATATTACAAAATTAATTTTTTTAATAGTACATTTATATTTAATATAAAAAATAAAAACATATTAAATATATTATCTTTTTAAAAAAAATTCATATTAGTGGTCCTCCAGATTTAAAAGTATGAGTTTGGTGATCCTTGAGGCCCAAAAGATTGGCAACCCCTGCTCTAGAAAGAGTGCAGAGAAGAGCAACCAAGAGAATTAGGGGACTGGAGGCTAAAACATACAATGAACAGTTGCAGGAATTGGGTATGTCTAACAAAGAGAAGGACTAGGAGTAACATGATAACAGCCCTTGCAATATTTGACAGTATAGTCATAGTAAGGAAGGGGTCATTTTAATCTCCAAAGCATCTGGGGACAGGAGAAGAAGTAACGGAAGGAAATTTATCAGGGAGAGATCCAATCTAGCATTAAGGAGAAATTTTCTGACAGAACAATTAACCCAATTCTGTTATTCTGTATTGTGATATATTTTTGGTCTCCATTGCTTTTTATATCGCTCTGATTCCACTGATGTTTATTTTGAATCAAATGCCATCAGGCTACTGTAGGACTTACCCAAGCAAAAGGGAAAAATGACTTTTGCACTACAGAAATGATTTGGAATAACGAAGGAAAATACAACTTCTTTTAAATATGGTTTAGTGATGACAACAACATGGAATTTTGATTAGATAAATGCATAGCATTGACAATAAAAAATAAGGAAAAAATTGAATGCCTAGATGGACAATGGAAGAAAGTTTAAAATATTTGGGCATTTTAGAAGCAAATAAAATGTTGCAAACTCAAATGAAAAAAGAAAAACATATCTCAATATATCAAACAAATAAGAAAAGTTTTAAATTGAAGCAGAATGGTATTAATATAATCAAAGCCAGTAATACCTAGTCACTGGAATATGCTGCCAGCAGTAAGACTCAACACAAGCCAAACTAAATGCTTTGGACTGCAAGTCCTGAAAATTTACAATAGTACAGTGTGTGCTACATTCAAAGAGTGATTGTGTGGAAACAAGCAATAGAGGATGACATCAAAGATTTAAATGATTACCTAAAATCAGAAAAAGAGAAAATGATAATTGATGTGTTCAAAGAAAATATTTTGATTGTGACAGCATTAAGGGCAGCATGCAAAAATCAAAACAGTTAAAACAGTGAATGAAAAATTGGAAAAAGAAAACCTTTGCGCAGTCAAAAGAAATAAAAAGCAATTGCTTCATATTGCATCCATCAGGAGTAACAGTAAGACTAATATTTCAGCTCCAGAATAGGTACTAGCAAAAAACAAACAAACATTTAAAAAAAAACTTGAAAAACTGTAAGCAACTTATTGGGGAAAAAATGAAGCTGTTAACCATTCATTGAATACATGTACATGTAGCAAAATTGTCCTGTCAGATTATAAAATAAAAAAATGTGTGGCAGAAATAATATACAGGATGTATCTTAAAGGTATGAATTTGATATCTCAAAGTATAGGTATGCTGATAACATTGAAAAAGTGACTCAGAATGATCATATAAAAACGTTATGAGACTTCCAAATTCAATTATACCACAATACATCAGAAAAAAACTGGAAAAAGATGTTGCTTACAGCTTGATAACCAAGTGGCACTAGGATATCCCAAAAGGAACTGAAAAGATTGAGAACTATTGTGGCTTAACCATGGAATAAACTGGCAAACGTTTTTCCATAGGTGTTGGAGTATTAGAAGTTACAATAAAATTATCAAAACAACTGAAAAATTAGAAGTATTCAGCCTTGCAAATTCAGCTATCAAAAACACTTGTAACATTCTCAGACTTTTAGATACTGCTTGAATTGATCCTAAACCATCATAATATTTGCTGAGCATTCTTCAAAATAGGATAAGTAACAATATATCTAAATCTGAAAGAGCAAAGCCTTTATTATAAACTGGATGTTTTGAAGTATTTTGAAGTATGACTTTTCTTTTAGAAGTAGGTTGATTATTTGTCCTAAATCATTTTCTTGCTTTTAAAGCCTGCCTGCCATTTTTCTAAATAAATTACAGGCACCCTTGCTTCTGTGAAGTCATTTTAGTTTTTTTTTCCTTTTATATCCCCAATATTTTTATTTCTGATTAATTCTTCCTTCTTCTGTCCTTTTGTAGAGAAAATAATTAATGGGCAAGACTATGAAGTTATGATGCAGATAGACACTGAAGTAATGGACACCAGGATCCTGCATATCAAAAGCTCATCCATCCCACCTTACCTTCGAGAACAGCAGAGGAACCATACGACGTCCTTCTATCATTCTCCTCCAACTGTTCCAGAGGCAGCTTCTGCTGTGAGAACGATCAGTGAATCACCCCAATAGGCTCTCCAAATGAGGCCTTCATATGTGCTCTGGGACAGGCAACCTGTGTAGGTTTGCCATGGCAGTGTCAGGGGCAGTATCCTGTCTTAGACAACAGCTTCAGGTTTTTGGATCTCAGGATTCTGTCTGCTTTTAGACCTAGCCAAAAATAGTTTCTCACCCACTCTGTCTAGATTATCTGCCATCTTTATAAGACAATATTTAAGGGCCTAAAAACTTCACGTTGTTGAAAGGAATACTAACACTGCAATGGGTAAAATAGTGTTATTGGTGGAAGTGAGGCTTCTGTGGGGTTAACTAATTCCTGGGATGGGGGTTGGGCACTAAATGTCATTTCTTTCCCCTACCTTCTTAGAAATAAATATCAATTTCTTGGCAGTTTCTGAAGAAGAAAGAAGCCACATATAAATTACAGTGTATTTGTCGCTAATTGTTTGTATTCTATTTTTTATTTTAGTTGGTCTGTAGAGTTTATACTTCGCATTCTTTATTCAATCTTATCCTGGGTTCTCTTTCCTGTTTCTTTTTACCAGTGGGGGAAGGTGGAAGAAAATAAGGAACTACAGGCTTTTGTTTACCAAATTAGAGTTTAAGCCATTCTTTGCTACACTCTCTATTTTCTGTATTTTTTCATTATTTTATTCAGTCTCTAGACAAAGCCCTATGTCCTACACTGCCTTTTTCTTGTACTTTATTATACAACAAATGCCCAGTCCAGCTATTTTGCATTTGTTACACAAGATACAGATGTTTTGTTGATACCGCCCTTTAACTATGTGCAAATTTGTAAAGTATTGTTACTGGGGAAATTATAGAAATTAAAATTCTGCCAGAATGTACCTGAACCAGTTTCATGGGCACCTATTGACCGAACCTTGCAACATTATTAACGAAGAGCTTTGTTTTGAACACTCTCTTATTACTTTGGGCTAAATATTAAGTGAATATACTGGAATTGGGGCAAGTGGTGCTTCTCTATTGGCCCAGGTTCTGTGCGCATCTTCATGAGCTTCCTACATGAATTTGCTCATAAGAATAATTTATGTCCTCTGGTTTGGCAACAGGGAAGGATCAAAAAGGGTAGGTTCTAGGGGAAAGGCCCCCATTCATACCGAGAGCGCTAGATCAATGAGAACAGGTTCTCTGCTTTTTCCACTCCACCTCTTCCATTGACATAGTTCATGCCCACATTGGGCATATAGAATACCCACATTGGGATATACTTCAAGATTGGGATAGGGGAGGATGTGTTGCCCAGTGCATAGATCTTTACAGGGGATACAAATTAGAGCATAGTACTGCATAATCTACTTTATTTATTTCTTATCAAATAGCTAAGCCTCCTTTAGATGTAAATATCCTCAGGGCAGATTTCATAGCAAAGTTAAGACTAGTGAGGAAAGAGGAGCACTAGGCTAAGCATCTGTGAAGTGGGAAAAATAAGCTCTGAATGTAAAAGGCTGCTTCAAATAGGTGGAGAACGTATGCCTCACAAGCAAAGGTTTGTGTGCCTCTCAGCAAAGAAAACCTCCATTGGCTCACTCCCATTGCATAGTCATCATCTACTTTTCTTCCCTTCTGTATGTGTGTGATTTTGTTTGACCTCCAAAATTCCACTTCCACATCTTGCACTCTTTTATTAAATATTATCACCATTTCCACAAAAATCCACTTCAGGCATTGAACAGATATTTATGCAAATGTATGAGCAATGTGATCAATGAGCAATATGATCAATATAACAACAGATCTGAAAGGGTAAGCAGTAGAGTCTTCCCTGAAAAGGGGTAGGCAAAATTCTTGTCTGTAACTGTTGTGTTGTGGGTTGAATCGTTGATACATTAACTCTTCTGGATAACAGATTGAGTAGGAGTTGTAATATTACATGTGTATACTTCAACCTGAAAATGTATCAGCTTTATTTATTTTCTGTGCTGGATGTAACCAAGGTAAAGTCAATGATATGTACATCTGAATTTCTTTTAAGTCTTTCTTCAGAAGCATAAAAAGTGACCTGGACAAAACCTAACAAAATTAAACAAAGATAATAATCCACCGTAAACAGTAGCAAAATAATTGAACAGCACAAAACTAAAATCCTTACAGAACAAGAAAAGAAACTGGCCGCAAAATTAGGCCAAGTCAACTTCACCCCCATATTTTCCACCTGCTCTGCCACAATTCTTGTTTGTGTTGTGTATTATAAGCTCACAAGGCAAGAATCCTTTTTTATTAGTTATTCTGTAGAGTGCTATGAACATTGATATATCAGAAGCACAGTGCATAACCCTGTCTTGAGAGTAGCATGAAATTACTTGTTAAAAATTCTGTCATCAGAATTGCATTGTACATGGAGCTGAAGATCTCAGAGCATTCAGTCTTGAGGGACAAAACAATTCTGTTATATTTTTTTTTTTGAGAAAATTTGTCTGGCTCTTACTGGAAATTAAGTAATGTTTTGTAAACATTATTTGATTAAAGAAGGCGTTGTTCACTTGGATGCTGATGTTCCTTCTTGCCACAATCAGGAGAACACTTTTCCCTGTTAACTGTTCCCTATACACATCCATACTATGTGCAATTTGACGCTGGAAAAATAAACAAAAAGATGTTTGAATGTGCACTTAAAAAAACAGTAGGGAACAGATCAGTGAGCAATTTACTAGAAGTTTTTTTGGGTATCTTGAAGATAAACCTTGGTAGTTATCCTGGTTTTCAGATTAATTTCACCCAAGATCACAATTTTCCAGATGAGAAGCATTTTTAGTTCAGCTAATTTTTTTCCTGCATCTTAAAGTTAGTGTTATAATAAAAATCTTTTGCAATCAAACTAAGTTGTATATCCATGAAGCTAATTGCCAACTAAAATCTAGCAGTGGTTTTGAATATCAAAATATCCCAGATCCAATTTTGCTAAATATATTATCTTGAGAAAAAGTATCTGCTGGTAGAAAAGTATACCTTTTGAAAAGACGAATCAGTGGGCTGGGGAAAAGAGAATTCAAGACTTTGAGTCAATCAGACCTAAGTTTGTTTTTAGTTTTCTGTCTGCCTTAAGCATCCTTCCTTGCTTGAAAAACTTCCCCTTCTTGAGGGCCCTTGTTCATCTCTAGTCTGGCCAACTGTAGAAATCAGTTTCGAGCTGTTCTCCTGCCAGCCTCAGCATTTCTTTAATATTGCCTGTCCAAAATTAGCCAACTACTTTTGGCCGAGTAAATGTCCCGTGTTGCTTTTTCATTACTGTGCTGGAAATACAACTTTTTGCAGAACACTTTATTAAAAACAAACAAGCCTTCCTCCTCTGAGAAAGTATATGGACAACACTTTCACAAAAGCCTAAAATTTCTTGAGTGTTTTCTTTATAGACTGTGGCATCTTTAAACAATGTTAAATTTGTATCTTGCACATTAGGTTGGGTCTGTGCTTTGAGTAATGCTGTAAAGTAGGTTCTGTTAATTTGAGACACTTAATTCAATGGCCCACTTTTAACAATTGTTAGGTTTGTATTTAATGTGATGTTTTGGTTTGTTTGTTTTGCTAATTATCTTTAAGTTATTTCCTTGTTTCAATATTGTGCTTATTTTTTTGAAACATCTGAATAAGAAATCATTTTTGTTATCTGAAATTACTGTTGGAAGAGCGATTGCATTGTCTTTTTTGTTGGTCTTTAAACAAGATACCTAGAATTGAAATCAAACTACAGGGACATCACAGTCAAGAATTACTATTGTTTACATTCTGTTCTAAAAGATAAATAAAATATACCTGTAGAGTTGTGGTATTTATTTTTATATCTGCATATTATCAAATTCACCTGTTACAAGATACCATAATATTACCTAGAGTACTAAGGAATCAGTTCCTTAGCACAGGGGTCCCCAACTACCGGGCCGTGGACCGGTACCGGTCCGTGGATCATTTTGTACCGGGCCACAAAGAAAATAAAAATAAAATAAAAATGGCGGCTTTCTTCGCCTTCGGTGAATGCTGCTGGGATCAGGGATCAAGGACACAAATGAAAGAAGGGGAGGGAGGAAGCAACCAAAGCCTGTCCTACTCTCTGGCTCAGTGGCTTCGGTTTCCTCCCGCCTCGTTCCTCTCTCAGTCGCTCTCTCGCTCCTCCACCAGCCCAGGAAGAAACTGCTTCAAAGAAGCCGGCA